ATATATTGGGGTACATTTGTAGGAGTAGTCTATTGTTTATATAGTTACTTAAACACATTTTATACACACACGTAAGATTTTGTAACTTCGTTCAACATTCAGAGTTTGAGATATTTGTTGATCTTTATTTGTATTTAGGTGCTAATTGTATTCACTAGATATTTGCTTATTTGCCATTTAGATTTGAGTTGAATTCCAAAATTGACAAAATTGATTTATACTTTTTAATTCTTGTCTACAATTAAACATTCGATTCATATATCATCTTCTAATAATTTCAAATATTTTAAAAAATTAATTTTCGTGCACAATTTACGAAGATTTTTGTTTACTTTTCAAGTGTATTTTGTTAAATATATATTTATATATATTAATATGTTATATAGTTAGATAGTTTAGCTAGTCTAGAAATATCATAAAATATTGCTATAGTTTGTATTTTTCACAAATTCTGGTTTTTTGTCTCAACAGCTGCTTAAATATAGTTAAATATATTATTAGTACATGTTGTATTTTGGATTTGGTATGCCATCAAGAGTTTAAGAGTACGAGTACAACACGTGTATATATTTATCACATGCGGACTAGTTGTAATAGTTTTTTTTTTTTTTTTTTTCGGGCACGTCAACCCCGATAAAACTAGATAGTTTAGTCATGCATAGCCTCGTCGAATTTCTTGCTTAAACATATGTATGTGTATGCTCTATATATATATTTATGTATCTGGTATTTTATACGTTTGACTAGCACGTTTCGATTACGAAAGAGAACTACTTAACACATTTGTATCGATTATCTATATAGTACATACATATATTTGACTTTGTGTGGTGTACAAACATCTAAGAGCTTAGAGTTACGGTTCGTTCAGATTCAAAGTTAGAAAAACAGAGATAGAGAGATAGTAGAAGAGCGGAAGAGGAGAGAGAGAGAGAGATAGAGAGAGTATACCAAAAGGCTTAATGCGCATGCGCTTTGGCCTTTAGGACCTTAAATAGATCACATGATTTGACATTCACTTAGGTATAATATTGCAATTATCTTTGCTGTATGGGTATGTGTGGTTGTGGGTGTCGGTGTGGGTGTGGGTGTGTTTGGGTGTGGGTATAGTGGTCTTTACTTATAGGCATATACACGTAGAGTAAACTAAAGTTGTTCTCATTCAACTTGCACTACACATTAATTAGTTAGTTACTATCGTTAGTTAGTTAGTTAGTTGTTCAGTTAGTTAGTTAAGACAATGTCGTTCGAGATTATAATTGTAGGATTGATGGCTGGCATTTTGTTGCTATGCACTCTGTCCAGCCAAATTGTTCAGCCAATTAGATTTCGGTCAGCCCCCCTCCGCTTTTGTCAGTCTCACTGCCAGCCGCATTGGAGGGGGTCACCAAACTCTAATTAGACGGCTTTCGTCATAATAATGCGCACAGCTTGGAGCGTTTCTTGCTCTTGTCGACGGTGCCAGCGGACGAAGTGGACGAGGAGGCGGACATGCGGCCAACGCTACCGGAATGTGGCTGGGATGGGCTGGTTGGACTCTTGTCGTCCATGTCCTCGCTGACATGTGACTCGAGCAGCTTGAGCGATGTCTTTGGCTTCGAGCCGTCCATGCTGTTGTAGAGCGTCTTCGATAGCTTCGACCGCACCACCTTGCCCAAGGCGCCTGTCTTCTTAATGCTCAGCCGTGAGCTGCTGCGCTGATGCTCCGGTGTGTGGGTATCCTCTCCACCGCCGGCGCTGCCTCCATGCTGATTGCAGTTGAGCGTTGTCACTGTGAACTCAATGTCCTTGATCTCCTCATCGGCACAGCCGGCAAACTCCTCAACCGGCTTGTCGATCGTGTCGTGATCGATCCAGGTGAGCCCCATCTCCACTTTCTCCGCCAAGTCCTGCCAGTTGCGTCTGTTCTCCAGCGTGCCTTCGTACAGCGGCGTTATCCAGGGGAACGTGTCGCACAGCACTCGGTAGAGCGGCAGACAAATAACATCTATGAAGCCCACCTGCATTTTGGGCAGCTCATCCTTGCGCTCCCTGCAATTCCCAATTCAAGTCTTGCTCTCCATTGATTTTCATTTACTTACCTGTCCATCATGGCCACGGGCTGAGTATTCAGCTGCAACTTCTCCAGATCGCCTTGATCGAAGAACTCATCGGCCACTAGCTTGGCCACGCGATGCTGCACCTCCCACGGCTTTGCTATGGCGCTCACGTCGCAGGCCGTCATCATCATACCGCACAGCACTTGAAGGGAGAGAGAGAGTTGTAAACAAAATATTACGTATACGCACGGCATGCTTTGCTGAAATACTTACAATCTTTCTTCTCCTCGCCCTGCCAATCGAATTCGCCATTTTCGACCAGCTCAAGAAACGCGTTGCGCTTCTTAAAATACATTGCCAAATCGGTGGAGAGTATTGCGCTTTCGACAGTCTTCATGACGGAGCGATAGTCTTCGGGCGAAAGAGCCTGAGGCAAGTTGGGCAAAACAAATTGATATAACAAATATTTCATCACCTTGATTTTAATTCTTTTATTTTTTTTATTTTTTTTATTTTTTTTTGCAAAATGAATTAAGAGATTTCCAATTTTATAGGATATTGTATACATGTGTATATTTATATATGCAGTTTAAACGTTTGTATATTAGATATTACTTAACAAAACCTAGGTTAAGATTAGATTATTATTGCAATACCTTTAGATATATAAAGGTTCAATATTTCACAGAAATCAAACTGAAGGTATTTAGATATACAAAATCTAGGCTTTCATTGAACAAAGCTAAATGAATTCTAATTTTACTATGAACTAAAATCAGAGAGACCTACAGGGTGTAAATATCACAGATAAAATTCAAGGGAATTTTTTATATATTTTCATTCAATATTTCTAGTATAAGTCTCAGCAGATTCTAAGCTACTTCGTTTTCCCAGCTTCAGATTTGGTCTTTAAAATTTATCAACTTCAGCTCTTGTCCAATGTT